CGTTGGACAGTGTGTCCTCAGCCTGAACCAACAGAAAAATGCCAACACCACAGTGAAACATGGAGGGCATGAAGAAGGAGAAAAAGGACAAGGCACACCCAATTTCCTCCATCTTGTCCCCTTTGGACCCCTTATCTAGAATCCTAAAATTTTACTTTTGCACCCGTGCCACAATTAATTATTACTCGTATCAAACACTCAGAGCTGGTAATTCATCCTGTAAGATTGAAAACTCTTTTCCATGGACAGAGATCACAGCCAGTGTCTCTGGGGGCTCTGTCCAGGGGGGTTCCTGACCCCTGCCAGGGTCCCAGACCTGCCAGGGCAGCCAGAGGGATGTCCTGGATTCCCACACCCTGTCCAGCTGCCCTGCCCGGCTGTCAGCCCGCCCCACCAGGCAGGAGCACCGGGACGAACCCGCGGAGCGCAGCGTGGCAGCAATTCCATCAGTGACTGATACCGCTGCAGCCTCCAAAAATCCCCCTCACTCCGGAGGAGCCCGCAGAGGGAACTGATGGATGAGCAGCTCGTGGGGATGGCTGCAATCTGTGCTAAGGAGATGCATAAAACGCAGAGCCAGGAGAGATTTCTGTCAGACGTTGTTGAGGATGATGTTTTCGGATGCAGGTTAAGCTTCACCAGCACTGCAGATGCCACGGAGAGCTGCCCAGGATGTGTTCTCCATCAGCATGGGGAAAATGGTTTAAAAATGCAATTACCCTCATCCATTTCTTCTGCAGAGTATTGGAGAGCTTTTTTTCAGAGGTTTCTGCACACCCCTGCTCTTGCTGTGCTCTGGGTTCCCATGCCTATAGGACGTGTTTTTTCCAGGTGTTTTTTACTCTTCTTGAGGAATACTCTAAAGGCATTATCTAATTAGCCTTTCTGACAAAACTACTATGCAATAGCTGTGTCTGACCTGCGTGTCTACATGTGTCAGAAATTTAGAATTATTTCCCCAGAGCCATTAAACACCAGAGCGAGAAATAAAAAGAGTGCAGATAATCAAGAGAAGTATTTTCATGTTGTCATTTTCTTTGGTGAAAAAAAAGACTATCAAGGAATAGTCTTACTCAAAATCCTTGAATGGTAACAATCTAGGTTTATTATTGATGCAGTCATATAGGATGGCAACTTGGAATAAATACAATTTTCAGCACCCTTGGAACCACCATTGTATAATAAAAAGGTTAACATTTGAAACAATACAAGTGGCCCAAGAATTAAAACCAAACATAATATTAAAGGGCTGAATACAAATTTTATTATTGACTGGTAACACTATTTTAATTTTATGTTATTACTATGCATCCAAGGGGAAGGTATTCATGAAATAAACTCAATTTCTGCATTAAAAGGACCAAGTGTACTTTGATATGGATTCAGGCCTTTGCTCATTTTAGCATGTAGCAGTAGTGGCTTTGTGACAAGTACAATAAATGTATAGTTTTGTATTCTGTTTAAAAATAGATATATACATAAATTTGAAGTGCAATTAATATACATATCCCCTGAAAAATTTTCTACCATTAATTATGAAGTTACAAATTTTATGGAACTTGTTGTTACGATTACAGACGGATATTGCTGATTTTTTCACTTTTAAATTATGTTTCTCTGAGCCATTTTTTCACTTTTTCTCCTCTTCATTTCTTTCCCCCCTCCACAGAAAATTACAACCCACACCTCCCAGGCAGCCGTGAAACTTCTCAGCTGAGAATGTGAACAACACAAATATGGTACCAGGAAGAATGTACATTATCAGCAGTGGGTCAGCAGCTACAGACACCTGCTATGCAGTTCCCACCTGCCCAGAAACCCCCAAAATAAACAGGGACTGATGGTAAGCTCAATTTCTTTGCTCTTGTTTAGCAAGACTTTGTTTGGTGTATCTTTGCTTGCGTGTGAGGGGTGAAAACATTGGCTCAGATCACTGTTGTCAGGGCTGCTCTGCCTACAGGCTTTTAGGATTATTTTTTTTTTTCTGCTGTTACACACATTTTCTCCAGGCGCTTGTACAGCCCCAGCTGCATTTGAACAGATTCATTATAATGATTTTCAGCGTTCTGCATCCGTATCAAAAACAAAAGCAATGTTCCCCTGTGAAGGCATTGTCTCAGAATTTTCACACCGCCCTGGGAGGACGTGGGTGCCCTGCAATGTTTGATTTCACGAGCCCCATTTCTGTGGTCTGTGGGTCTGCCTGCCCTCCAGGCTGCGTGCAGGGAGGAGCTGCTCAGCTGCACCAGACATTAAATGTCTCTTTCAAGGTTTCCACGGGGAATGAAACTTGTAGATTATCAAACCTGCTTCTATTGAATTATGCACCCCTGTGGCAGATTATTTGCAGGCTCTGTGCCAGATGGAGAGAATTCTCTGTATCAGCATCAGGCCTTGTAAACATCACCATTTCTTCCTAGGGTTACTTACTTATTCCAGATGGCACCCGCTGCGCTCTCTGTATCTTTCTTCCAATCTGTGGGGCTTACTTTTTCCCAAGAAATGAGAGTGCTTTAATATTTTACACATTTTTCCTATTTCTATGCCAATATGTGAGAGTATCTTGACAGAATAAGCAAAGATGTTTTGCATTTATACTCGGTTCACATGGAATAAGAAAAAAGAAAAGGAAATTTTATCCTACTATGTATTTTTAATTCTACAGTCATTTTCCCAGCTACCAAGGGCTTTCTGAAACTGGGAGTGATCACAGCCCAGTGTCTGCTGATCCCCCTGCTCTCAGGAGCTCAGCCATCACGCTGCCTCTCCCGACTCACATTTGGAGAACATTATGAAATCTGTGTTGGGACATGCCAAAGCCTTTGGAACATTGAGAGCACTGACTTGAGATATCTCTCCAGAATGTCGAGACAGTTTCATGCTTTAGCAATTTGTGAGCTGTAGGACAATACCCTTCTTATGGCCACTCTAATCACAGGGTCTGTGAAATTCTCATTGCACAGCTCCCAGAGCAGGGGAAAAGGGAGTGATCTCTACTAACTTTCAAATTCAGGGCTCAGCTCTGGCACTCATATTTCCAACAAGCGAGTAGTGTGTGTCTCCATATCAAAATGTTAGTCATGTGAATAAAGTTTTGAAGCATTGTTGTCACTATATTTTGCATTTAGTGCTTAGCTAATGCTTGTTGCATCTGTATTAAATAAAATAGTCCTGTAACTTTTAATTAACATGTTTGGTCAACAAACTGAATCCTGGCTCTTCCCTTTTAATCCCAGCTGGCAAAACCTCTGCTGAAAAGGAACCAGCTGAAAACAGGCTTAAGGAGAAAAGCTGCTGTATTTTCTTCCCCACGTGATTTCAGTGCTGATTTGGACTATCAGCATTTCCACATTTGAAATGCCACTTTCCTTCCCAGCCTCACTCTCGACCTAATCCCTTCTCTTCACGTACTGCACTGACCCTACACGACCCTCCTCTTCCTCCCCCGTTTGTTGCCCACCCCCTCCTCACTTTGCCCACGTTTTGGCCTCTTCTGGTCCTGCCCAGGGTCCTGCCCTCACCCCCAGCACCTCACTGAGTATTTCCAGCTCTTCTTTACCCCTGGTCCAGCCATGCCAAGCATCCAGGACTCCCCTGCTGCTGCTGCTTTGTTTTCTCCACGATTCCCTGCCCCGCTCCTCCCAGCCGTGCCCTGGCTCTGTCTCCTCCAGCCCCACAGCTCACACGTTTCCCTCTGCTCTCTGCCCACCATGCTCTCATTACCCTCACTCTGCCAGCCAGGCTGAACTCCCCCTCAGCCCACTTGCCTTTCTTTGCCTCCTGCCTCACTAGTGGTATTTCTCCCGTTTAATTGAGTCCCTTGATTCCAGCTTTTCTCTTTTTTTTTTTTTTTTTTTTTTTTTTTTGTTTTAACTTCTGCTTTTGATTTTCTCCAGCCTGGCTGTGAGACACCTTCTGCATTGCATTTATTTTTCTAGTTCCTTTTCAGCAGTCCTTTGTATTTTCTCATGCTGTCCTTGACCACAGGCAAGAACTCACCAACGACCTCTGCAGACACACCAAACTGTTTCTTTCAAAAGCTGCTCTATAACGTTATTTAGCTATTCTTCTCCCAAAATACCAGTGGCAGATATGCCAGCTGTGTCCTGAGGATGCTGCCTGTCACAAAAGGCAGCACCTAGTCCCTGTACTTCTTTTTTGCCTCTAGGGATCTGATCTCGTGCTTATTTTGAGTGCCTTCTGGCTTGGATGGCTCTCCTGTGGTTCTGAAACATTTTGCACTAAGAGGTGAAGGCGTGATCATAAAAAAATGATGATGATGATGACAATGGTGGCGATGATGATGTCCTTACCTACATAGCAGGTGATTTACAGTTGTCTGCCTTCTGCTGGAGCTCCCACTGAGTTTTGGGCTGGGATTCCTGAAGGAGGGAATCTCATGGATGCCTGTGTCACCACCTCCCACACCACTGAGCAGCCACAAGCAAATCCATCAGGAAAGAATTTCCACAGTGGCATACACAGTGACTTAAAATTGACTTGATGAGAAAATTCCCCCCAAAAATGTCTCCACAAAACAGGAATAGTAAAGCTCAAAGGGCATCATCAGCTGTAGTAACCCCAAAGTTGTTTGCAAGATATTCAGGACTTAGAATGGCAGTGATGTACAGTGTGTATTTCACAATTTTCCTGCTTTACCAGATAACTGAATCTCAGCTGAATATTGCAAATAACTTCCAAGTAGCCAAGTTATACTCTGTGCCTTGAACAGCAAACAATTAGATCAGCAAAAGTGAATAAAGTCACAGAGATGAGACTGGATCAGTTCTGGTCTCAATCTGCAAGAGGAGACACAGAGGTGCATTCTTGGTGAAAATGGATTTTTTCTCCAGAAGTTAAGCAGCACTTCTTCAACAGCTTTACTAAATTATTTTGTATTTGATCGATTACCTTGATATGAAAATGCAAATAGTGATTTAGTGACAAATAAACACATTAAAAATACAGCACATATATACAAAACAAGACATAAAGCCAACTTTTCCTCCATTGCTTTAGTCAGTTTTTATTATGTTTACATTACCAGTACTTTTTCCAAAGTGTTTTTCAGGATAGAGGCCTAAATTTTACATGATTTTTAAACTAGATTTTCTAGGTGGTTTTTTTTTGTGTGTTTTTTTTTGTTTTTTTTTTTTTTTTTTTTTGGTCACCCAGGGGATTGACAACTCACTGCCCTGCCCCCCAAATTCCCAGGGTCACTCCTGGATATGGGACTCAGCAATTCCACTGCTGTGAAACACAACACTATGTATTTCCCTGCTTATGATATCTTTGAGTACCTTGCACTGGACTAGTTCCCAGAGGAAATTTCAGGTTAAAAGTAGGCGAATTGGGTCAAATTATCTCTGCTGATACAGGACCACAACTTTCCCCTACAGTTCTACAGCAAGGCCCTCTGAGCCTATCCCGGCAACACTTGGGATGTGTTTTCATAAATGGATCCTCTGGAATTAAAATACAATAAAATGAAGATTAGGATATAAAATAAAGGAAAACAGTGTGCTTGTCTGTATGTTCTTTTCCTCAGAGCCCTATGCAATAAATTACATCCACGGATTTCTTTACATCTGTTTGCACATATAACTTGATCGTGTTCATACATATGAATTAGGCCTAGAATTCCTTCTTTTAAAAGCACAAACAAGCCCTTCTTTAATGTTGATAATGAAGAATTTTAAAAAATAATCCCATATAGATACATGGATACATTTGGATGTATTAGATAGTATATACATTCATATATACATTGTAGACATTTAAAGTAAGAAAAGTAGGTTGTCCTCGTACGAGAATGATCAGTGATAAGTAATAAAGATAATATAATGGAGAGAACTAAATTATACTTGAACAATAAAGGACAAAGGGACGGTTACACAAAGAGCATTCACTGCAGTGACCAGGAATATTAGACTCCTTTTAGTACCTATAGATTGCTGTGCAGTGACATATTCAATATTTTCAGCTGAGGAAAAGTGCCTGCATGTCTAGGAGAAAATGATGTAGTCAAAGAAAACCCTCTCTTTCTTTCTTTCTTTATAAATAAAATGTAACTCCTGTCATTTATTTTTCCTGTGTGTCTCAGGTGACCTGGTGGAACAGATGATGTGTGATCATTCGCGATCTGTGCAAAAGCTTTATTAAAGTACAAATTACGTCAGCTGGGACAAAAGCCTGCAACTTTATCTTGGCAAAGATGGGTTCTTGCTGTAGGATTTCACGGTGATGTACGACGTGCTTGTTCTGGAAAGCTCCAGCTCCTCGCTGAGTGTCAGATGCCTGCAGGCTCCCCTGAGCGGCAGCTGCTCCCACCCAGGGACGCGTATTCCATGGAATTTCACACAGGAGCTTCAGCACGGGCTGGGAGGAGCCCGGGGGCAGGTGAGGAGACATCCCCGGGGCAGGTGAGCGCCCGGCTGGATGGACACCAGTCCGGCCACACATTCCAGGCGCTGCCCCAGCCCTGCCCGAAGCCTGGACTCCCCCGGCCTCGATGTGCCGGGCTCAGATTTCACTGTGTGAAGGCGCAGGGCAAACGAATCCAATTCCAGCAGGGTTTGTGTTATCTGTTTGTGTTTTTCTAGTACAAAATTGTCTGCCTTGCAACCCTGCACGGGCCCGAAGTTCCTGCAAATAATACACAAAACCACAGGTGCTGACACAGATCACGCAGGAAATATTTCCTAACTCATTCTGTGCATTGTACAGCATTACTGAATATTGTAACGTCCACATTTTTATTCCCTTTTTCTTTTTTACTCATGAGACGCAGTAGAGCAAGAGAGAGCGAAAGCTACATATGCAAAATACCTTTTCAAACGAAAGAGTTCCAAGGCTTTTCCTGAAAGAACCCTAAGAGGAAGTTTAAGCCGCTGAATTAAAGGTGCAGCGTGCTGTTAGTGGGTAGAAATTTCCATACTGGTATGTTGTATGTAAAACAATTCTGGACGCCAGCTCCCTGGCCAAAGTTTATTGGCAATAACGAAGGTGCCCGGGTACCGCTGTGCAGGAACCAGCAGCTGCTGCCAGCCCGGGCAGGGAGCACACCGCAGCACCACCGCAGATTTTCCTTTCTGTGTGTGCCAGCCGCCCTCTCTCCCCGACCTCTCTGGAAAAGGTCCCGTTCGCAGCCCCGCAGCCCCCCAGCCCCGCATCCCCGCAGCCCCCAGCCCCACAGCCCCGCATCCCCGCATCCCCGCATCCCCCCAGCCCCGCAGCCCCGCATCTCCCCAGCCCCGCATCCCCGCAACCCCGCAGCCCCCCAGCCCCGCAGCCCCGAGCCCCGCAGCCCCCCAGCCCCGCATCCCCGCATCCCCCCAGCCCCGCAGCCCCGCATCTCCCCAGCCCCGCATCCCCGCAACCCCGCAGCCCCCCAGCCCCGCAGCCCCGAGCCCCGCAGCCCCCCAGCCCCGCATCCCCCCAGCCCCCCAGCCCCGCAGCCCCGCAGCCCCGCAGCCCCGCATCCCCGCATCCCCCCAGCCCCGCAGCCACAGCCCCCCAGCCCCGCATCCCCGCATCCCCGCAGCCCCGCATCCCCCCAGCCCCGCAGCCCCCCAGCCCCAGCCCTGCAGCCCCGCAGCCCCGCAGCCCCAGCCCCGCATCCCCCCAGCCCCGCAGCCCCCCAGCCCCACAGCCCCGCAGCCCCGGCCGGGCGCTCTCTGCGCGCCCCGCGGAGCCCGAGGACAGCGGGGCTGGGGTTCCCCCGGCGGGACACCCGCGGTGCTCCCCCGCGCCTCCGTGGGCGTGAATTTCGAGTTAAAACGACAGGTTTCTGGTGTTCCTCTCGGGTTTCTCTGCTGCCTTTTGCTTTAATTCTTCCGGCACAGCTCGGGAGCGAAGTTAAGCGGCTCCGGCGGCCGCGCTCGCCCGGCCCTGCCGCTTTCCAAGATTTTCGCTCCAAGAATGGAAAAGGCGGAAACTATCGAGAAACAGCGGGGCAGCCCCAAATCACCTCGCGGCTCCCGGCCCGGCCCGGCGAGCGCTGCGCTGCCCGCGGGGACCCCCGCCCGACCCCCGCTCCGCATCCCGGAGGGATGGGGGATGGAGGGATGAGGGGATGGAGGGATGGGGGGATGGAGGAATGGGGGGATGGAGGGATGGAGAGATGGGGGGTAGAGGGATGGGGGGATGGAGGGATGGAGAGATGGGAGGATGGAGGGATGGGGGATGGAGGGATGGGGGATGGAGAGATGGGGGGATGGAGGGATGGAGAGATGGGAGGATGGAGGGATGGGGGATGGAGGGATGGAGAGCGGAGGGATGCGGGGATGGGGGGAAGGGTGGCGGGGGGCAGGGACCCGGGCGCTGCGGCGGCGGCGACTTTGCTCTTTAAATCGCTCTCCAAAGCGGATTTACGGCTGATCCCCCACGTCAGCGCCCGGGGGGCCGCTCGCCGCCGGCGGCGGTGCCTGGGGCGGTGGGAGGCGGCGCGGGGCGGGGCGGGGCGGGGGCCGGGGACACTCGGGCGGGGCGCGGGGCCGGGGCCGCCCCGTCGGTGCGTGCCGGAGCCCATGAATTGCTCCGTGAGCGCCCGGCGAGGCTGCCGCGGCCGCGGGCTCCGGGCACGATGCAGAAGAGCGTGCGGTACAACGAGGGGCACGCCCTGTACCTGGCGCTGCTGGCCCGCAAGGAGGGCACCAAGCGCGGCTACCTCAGCAAGAAGACGGCGGAGACCAACCGCTGGCACGAGAAGTGGTTCGCCCTCTACCAAAACGTGCTCTTCTACTTCGAGGGCGAGCAGAGCGCCCGCCCCGCCGGCATGTACATGCTGGAGGGCTGCAACTGCGAGCGGGTGGCCGCTCCCAAGGGATGCGCGGCGGGCAGCGCCAAGGATGCCGCGCTGGACAAGCAGGTACCGCCCCGCGGCCGGGGGGCAGCGGGAGGGACAGCGGGGCTCTCGGGCCGCCCCCCGCGCCCCCGGCGGTGCCGCCCCCGGCCCGACCCGCCGGGAGCTCCTGCGGCTCGGGGCGCGGGTGGGAGCCGCAGGAACTCGCGGGGCGGCGGAGCCGGGGGTCCTGGAGTCCCCGCTGATGGCTCTTGGTTCCAACCTGGCCCTCCTGTTTCCACCCCCGGCACGCCGAGTTTCGGCCAGGCGCCTCTCGCGGAGCGGGTGTTCGGTCGTCTCGATGCACTTCTGCCGTGCAGCGGTGCATTTCTCGGCAAACTCAGCGCGGCGAGGCGGCGGGAGGACAAAGTCCCAAAGCGGCACGGGGGCACTCTGAGGAGGCGCTGAGCCCTTCCCTGTGGGGCTACTGCCTCTCCCGGCGATGCTCTGGGGGGAAAACAGGCTCTCAGTCCCCCTGGGGATGCGTGTGGCAGCCGGGCAGGTGGCTGGGCGAGCCCGAGCCCTGATTGCAGCCTGCCGCATCCCACGGGAGCGGGAGGTTTCCCTGCCAGGCAGGTGTGGCGAGCCGGCCGTGCCCGGGCTGGGGATGTGGCACAGCGCCCGAGCCGGGGCCCGGGACCGCGGGGGCGCGGGTGGGATTCCTTCCCCCCGAACTGCCGAATTCCTGCCCTCCTCCTGCCCCGCCGGCCCCAGCTGATCCTGCCCAAGCTGATCTGTGTGACATGCGTGTGTCAGAGCGGCGAGTGGTTAAATACTCCCGTGCATTACATAACCGCAAGGAAAGGACGCCGTGGTTGCTCGGCGTGGATAGAGACCGGGTGTCTTACCCACACACCTCCTGCTGCCTCATCTGAGTTCTTGATCTCGTCTGAAATGTGCTCCAGCCTGGTCCTGGCGTGCCCGGTGCCTTCCCCGCTGCACGGGAGCAGCCGGCGGTGCCGGGCTGGTTTGGGGAAGTTTGGGTGGCTGCAGGTGTTTCCTCACGCTGCTGGGAAAGTGACACAGATCACAGCCGCGTCCTGAAACCCAGCACATCTCTGAGCTGTCCTGGACTGGTGACTTTGCAAGGAGAGCTCAGAGCCTCGTCTTATATTTGTGCCTTTCCCCCGCACCTATAAATAAACCTGGTGTGCTCAGGCAGCCTCCGGGTGTTTCATGGTTAAGTGAGCAAACTTCGGGGAGCTGGGATGGTTGTACTTATGTCATATTCACCCTCCAATTCTCGCTTATTGCTTTGAGGCATGTTTTTATAGCGTTATAAGTCGAGCACTGGAGGATCCCCAGATGATATTAAACATGGATGTTGCCCTGCCTTCTTTACATTGGCTTACTATGCTTGTTTATCAGCGGCGTTGTTAAATTACAGCTTGACTGAGAGAACTGCCTGAAAACAAATCCCTTCCATGCCTGTTCTCTGGGAGCCTTAAGTTGTGCTTTTACAGTGATGAATGAGTTGTTCATAATTACATCGAGTAATAATTACAGGGCAGGAAGCTGAGCTTTTATTGCCTCAGACATCAGCTATGTTGGTGCTTTCAAGAATAGCAGACTGCTATTAAAGAGGCAGAAGAATGTTTTTTTTTTTTTTTTTTCATGGGATGCTCGTTTCAATTTTCAAGACAGATCATCAGGAAATATCCTTTTTTCTTCACCTTTTGCTTGATCCCAAGCTTTATTCAAAGCTTTTGAGTATTAGTAGCTTTTAGAGATGTTTAATCATTGAAGTGCACCCTTGTTTGTATATACACATACAGACACAAATCTTTGCTGAGGTGTACAGGAAATTCCCTCAGTGGCCAAAACTGATCGAAGGCAAGAATGAAAAAGAAAAAGATTTGAAAATTAAGCAGCCTCCTCCATTTAGAAAATGTACTCACATTCTGGAAGGTGTAAAGCAATAAGCCATGAACCTTCAGTTTATTAACAGAGGCAGGCAAACTTTAATCAGATGATAATGAAATGTTGATATTGCACATGCTAACTCTTGGCAGTGAAAACATACTGTATAAATTTAATTTGCTTTGATTTCACCGCACAAATGTATTAATGGAATGAAAAAAAAAAAAAAAAGAAAAAAAAAAAAAGGAAGAGAAGCTCTGTGGCAGTTTTTGAAGAATCAGATCTCTCTTCTGCGAAGGAGGGACAAAAGACAAAAGTTTTCTCCTTTAGTCTGGGTTTTATTTATCTGACTAACTCAGATATTAGAGTGATATGTGCTATAGAATTGCACAAATGAGGGAGAGAAAGAGGAAATAATCACATGAGAGAGCTTCATCAGCATACCTTGAGTGGATGTTTGAAAAAGCAACGCATTTTCTCCAAGTTACATAATAAAGATTATGGAAAATGCTTGGAGGACAAATAGATTTTGTTTTCCACATCTTGCAGATCCTCTCAATGTTGGTTTTCAGTTGTTTGGGCATGGATTGTCAGGTCATGTGCCACGTGAAACTCTGTAAATTGTCAGAGCTGAGTGGGACAAGGGCTGGGCTGTGCTGTCCTGCACAGGACACAGAATTTTGGCCACCAGATGTGTCCAGGTGTGGTGCCCATCTCCCAGCCAGCCCAGGTGCTGGACAGTGACACGTTCCACCCTGCTGGGGCTGCTGGGGACATTAAGGTGTGACAGGAGCCACCACTCTGAGGCAGATGCCAAATGCCTCCATAAGATTTATTCTGGTTTTGCAGCATTAAGGGCTTGAGAAACAATTGCAATGGCAGAATGCACTTGTTTTGCCTTTTTTATTACCATATTACTATGTTTTTTTCCTTCAGAGGGATATTTGCTTCAAAGAAAAATCTGTTAAATGTACAGAACCTGTCTTAATAATGACTGCACAAAGAGTGAATCAACTGATATTCTGGAAATGTGTGATCAAATTGAGTATGCTGCATATACTAAATGATCTGCAGAGGGAATTCTTGTTTCTAAATAAAAGTGTTTTGATCTCCCTCACATTTTGGAAGAGTTTTCGTAAACACCAAAGAGGTGTTGCTCTACACTCTGATTTCACATTTCAGGCAAAAAAAGAAGACATAGATTTATTGAAAGAGTAGCAAGGTAGAAGAGGCTGAGTTTCGAACCAGCAAATTAGGAGATGTGAATACCACATGCAGATAGCTTCTGATTTTAGTTAAACTGCTTCTTCCCGGGGGAATTGAGGGTTGTAAACAAGTGCAGCCCCAACAAGTGGCACTGAGAGTCTTGATGAGAATCCATTTCAGCTTTTCTTTCAGAAACTCTGGAATGGCTGGCTCTGTCTTAGTGAGGGGTCAGCCTCTTTCAAAAGTAAAGCAAAATGCCCCAAACCATGCCTTTTGCAGAGCTTCACACAAGGCTGGCAATTGTCATCCAGCAAGTTCACAGCTACTTTTTAAAATACTACTGGAAACAAGTGATTAGAGGAATGTAAATATTAACATTATTATTATTGTCCGCGTTGGGAGGTGGCCTGTGTGTTTAGTTTCTTTCATAACTGTGCATTGAATACATGGAAATGTTCTGATACTGTTATTAATAACTCTCTCAGAGTATTTAAGGTTGTAAATGTTGCATGATTGGAGCAGAGATATTCTTTGTATCTTGCCTGCAATAATCTTCCTCCCACTTAGCAAAATTAAATGCAGTATTAGGTCTGTGTTCCCACAGATTAACAGAATCCAATCATTTGAATTTTTTTTCCTGCCTGCTGCAGCTCTGGTTTTGTGGAGGACACACAGATTTTGTGGATCCTCTCTGTTTTACACTTATTGCTTGGCACATGCCACCACCAGCTTTTGCTGTACCTTCAGCTACTTTAATTATGTTTAACCAAGGAACAGCACTTAAAGGGCATTTTTTAATGAAGATGAAATTAATTAAAAGTTACTCAGTTTGTTTTTGGGCAACCCCCCGCCGAGTTGCTCAGCATCCTGTGCATGTTTAATGCTGTAGATGGCTGAGGAGTGTTGGGGTTTTTTTGGCACCTTCAGGATTAGTATTGTCCATAAATCTCACTGCTTGCATGTGGGCAGGGGGTTCCCTGTGATGTTCCAGTGAAAGGTAGGCCAGACACCACCACATTTAAAAAAATTTCAGGAGAAATTACGAGATAATAGATGAGTTTTTCTCCTCATCACCTGAGAGGAAATAAAGATGTGTTGTGCTTTTGTTTTCTGTAAAGTTTTGTGTTTTTTTAATGGATTACCCTCAACAGAAAGAGTTAATTAGAAAAGATGGCTATTAGTGCTCTTGGGGTTAAGGTTTTTGTAAGACCTTCTTATGGCAGAGTCTCTAAATGGTTCTTGTGTGAAGACAGCTTTGGGGTAACCTGCTCTTGGTTGTCCCTGTCCCCCTGCTGTCCCTCAGTCACTGTCATGGGACATCAGAGCTCGGGGTACGTTCCCCAAATATTCAGACTCTTCTGGTCTGTGTTGGGGGGCAGCAGAACACGAGTCCCTGGCAGTGTGCCTCACACAAGCTGCAGCCAAGGGGTTGTGAAGAAATGAAAAGTGAATTTACAGTGTCCCCTGTGACCTAAGGCAACAGGTGGGAAATAAATACAAAAATTAATAAAACCCCCGAACAAACAAACAAACTAAAGAGAATCCAACCCAAGCCATGAACCAAACAAACAGGTAAAAACCCTGCTGTGATCTATCCAGGGACTGAGCTCTGCTCTCTGATAAATGTTTTGTGTTTGCTCAGCAGTGAGCACAGTTTGTGAATAAAGAGAAGGAGAGGAAAATCTCACAGCCGTATTTATTTGCCAAAATTTAGGTGTTTCCTCCTAACTCTTGAAAAAGTATATTTCTTCTGTAACGTTACCAAAAGGGTTTGTAACTGTGCTTGTGTGGGGAACCTACACAGCTGATAATCGAGTTACAGGTAGACCTGGTTTTTTGGTTTTTATTCTTGACATGCCTCCTCATAGGTTACTTGAATCTGCACAGACATAGCTTGGACAACATTGATGACATTTAATAGTTTATTATTAACCTTTGGCAACCTTTCATGTACATCAAGT